TTAACTCTAAAACATGGAAAGTAAAAATTGAGTTCAGATCTATTTATTTTATCGAACATATCTTAACTTGTTTCATATCAAATCACAATCACTTAATTTATTAGGTTATGAATTGATTTTATTTGATCTAATCGGACTTAAATTTGACCTTGTTCTTACAATTATATTGCTATTTAGAATAATTAAAATTATGTACGTCAATAATACATGTACTCGTGTTATTGTGTACATTTTCAAATAAAATTTTACAATTTTTGTTTTTACAAACTAAGGGCTTGTTCTCTTCAAATTATTTTTAGTTCAATTCAGCTCTAATTAGTTCAGTTCAGTTCTTAATTTTCTTCTCTTAAAATATTCAGTTTAGTTCAATTCAGCTCACTTCAGTCAATCAGAATAGGCCCTAAGAATATTTAGCGATAATTACTAGCTAGCGAGGTTAGATGATTTAAAAATTATAATCTGATCTAATTTGATTATACATGTACATATGATATAAGTATGCATTAGCTTCATAACTTGAACTAAACATAGCGTTAATTATATCTATAATAATCCACATACTACACCCGTTTCATACTATTTTCAATGATTTGATATAAAGTGTGTGTAAAAAGTGTCTAATCGTTGCAAATTATATAAAACGGGGGTAGTATATAGTCTTTATATATACGGTGTTTCCCAAGTCCCTGTTATCTTAAATTAGGTGAAACTCTATATTAATTTAGGTAGCAGTAACAAAATTTTACCCCCCTAATAAGGAACTTGTGGAAAAGTGGTCAACACCTCACAAACCTTATTCACCATCCTCATCATCATCAATGGGGAAAAGAACAAGCAAAAAAGTGAATGAAAGAGAATTTGACTCTTCATGCATGAAAGATGCATGTTGACATTTGACAATCATGTAATTTTAAATTAACCGTGATTTTTGTGAATTTAATATACCATGTATTAAAATAATTAGTTATCATCTCAAGAAAAACTACTCAATAGTATTTTTTTTTTTTATTACTCCGTATTATTTATTTTTTTCTTTGACCTACTACATTTTAAGGTTTTATTTATTTTTAACCTTAATCAGTTAAAAATCTTGAAATGGAAGTAGGGTTGTCTTAGCCAGGGACAACATTTTCTTTAAAAATTTGAGAACTCGCGTGAAGGAACCATTTAAAAAAGTTTGTGATTTTATTTATTTTCGAGAGGAATATTGATCGGATTATTGATATTATTCTAACAAATCAAGTTCCACCAAGGTAACTAGTGCGTTAAGAGGGTAAGTGTTTAGAATACTCGATGAATCCCATTAAGGGTGGTAATCAAGCCACTAATTGAGTTACACCATAATTGGCCCTACGGATATGGCAAATACAAGAGAAAGAGACGAAATTAGAGATTAATATACAAACATTTTTAATGATTAAATCGAAAGGAGTTCTTCCTAGCTTCTTGTCTTGCGTGCATTGGTGATCTCCTGGATAGATGGATTGCCTTCACCACCTTATTCATTCTTGGTTTCAGAAAAATTAAATTAATATGTAGTGATGTAGTCTGTCATCCTTTTGTAATTAGTTTTCCTATTTTTCTTTAACTCTATTAATTATTATTTTGAGATGGATTTACCATATCAATTTTATGATAATACTTATTTTTTTTTTCCAATAGTTAAAGTAATTTGTTGGTTTTTATTTAACTTAGCGCCTATTCTGATTTACTAAAAAGAGCTGAGATGAACTGAATATTTTATGAAAGAAGGAAATTAAGAACTGAACTAAACTGAAAATAAGCTGAAGAAAACAGGTCGTTAGTTTAAGTATCTAGTGCCACTGAGAAATATGGTCAATTTTAATCATATTTTTATATGTAACCATTCTTTTCCTATGAAAATTAATTTAAAACCTAATTAGTCAAACCATATTGATACGTACACATTTGTTACCACAAGGCCGACCAAAATTATTTTCAAAATAAACCACATCAATGAAGATTAGTGTGAAAGAATTTCCTTAGCGATATTAACTACATATTATTGATTATTATATATGTTTTCTATTTTGTAAATAAATCATATTAAAAAAAAAATCCTTTTGTATGATACAAGAAAGTGATTATGAATATATTAAAGCCGGACTCAAACAAATAGCTATATTCTTTATATGATATAGTGATACCGTATAACGTTTCAACATCAAAACTACTCCACTTATCACTTATTTGTACTCCATATTATAATAAAGTAAATTAAATGTTGTAAATTATATGTCACACAAATGGAACACTTAAAAAATAAACGATTGAGATATAATATTTTAAATAATGTCACTATTAAAATATTTTATAGGGAAAAAAATAATTGTTGGAAAATAATACAGTGTCGAATATGTATATAGAGGATGATACGTGATTAATACTCTAATAATGTTGTTGGATATGTGGGAATAATTTAATGGTTGGGGCTTGGCCAACATATGGCTACCTTTTTAGTTTCAAATTTTGCATTTTGACGTAAAGTCCCGTGATCACACCGACACGTGGCGGTAAATCTCTCACAAACAATTTTTTTTTTTAATTTAAAAAAAAAAATCATAATCATACCCGATTTGTCCGAATATGAAGATTTGTGGATACAATTTTTTTTTTTGGGGGTGCACGTTAAATGTTATTTCGTGATTTGTTATTCTATAAAATTCCATCACGCACTAAAGATCTTGAATGGGATTTGAGATTTCTATTAGAAAGGATAAATAAATAAATGGGATTAATATTAACGCACCTTTATAAATTAAAAATTATATACCCATTTGGCCACATGGCTTATAAAACCAAGGAGAAAAGATATAATTCATTTTAAAAAATTAACATGCAACCTTTTAGTGAAAATAATATACTATATGATTGATATGAGATTTTATCACACATTATTGAATCAATTCATAGTTTTAAATTAACATTGATTAAATAGCATAAAGTGCTTCTTTTAATTTTTCCATTGCTAGCTACCGTGCGGGATGAAAGCAGTATAGTTGCTGGTTGATTAGCAAATAAAGGGATGCTTTGAAGCTAAATGTCATTCGAGTTTCTCTATTGGTTGGGTTGTACTTTACACGAAGATCTATTCACCAAAAAAAAAAAAAAAAAAAAAAAAAGCTAAGGGTTCAATTGAAGCTAAATGTCATTCAATTTTCTTTATTGGCTAGGTCGTATTTTACACGAAGATCTAATAAAAAAAATAAAAAAATAAAAGGAATGCCCTTTTTCATGCTTACTTTATTTTCACTTAAATACTTAAATGGGATGCATGTATTAAACGGATTGTTTCTCCAAAACTATTTAATTGATCAGTTTCTACTTATAAATAATGAACCGTCATGCAAATGTGTGTGAGTTTTCAAGTCGTATACAAAATACAGTTCTCAATAATTTTCTCTTTTAGAAATTCACGATAATTGGATTTTATTGTTGTACTCTTGAGTAAAGTTACACAAATTAAAATTTTCCTATAAAAAAGTAAAATACAAAGATTTTCTTTATTCACCACTCATCTCGGATTTTAGAGGAGCTAAAGGCTAATATGTTCGGTATATGCTCATGTAATCAAGTTTGGCCATTGAAAATGATATGAGAGTTGATCAATCAACATTGTCCATTGAATAAACACACTTATACAGTCACATTGAATGTCAAAAATTTCCAATAACAAAAAACATATAAACCAACTATACACTTATGGATTACTGGTATTTTTTCTCATTAGTTTATGTTAATCCGGTGGTGGATAAATCATAGATTTTTTTTACCCTATTCCGCCTTAAAAAGAAAAGTTTTACCCTTTGGATTAAGTTTATGCAATAAGATAAATTAGAGATCAACACACCTATCAATGATATGATAATGTTTACAATATCAATATGAGAAAAATTCAAAGTAACCCCTATTCAACTATCCAAATTTGTTGTCTTCAAAAAAAAAATAATCCAAATTTGATTTTTTTTTTTACCCTTTATTACTATTAATAAGTTTACATTCTAAAATAAACTACAAACTAATGTATCCATCAAAGATTTCATATTATATTCACACAAACACATTATCGATAAAACAAATATCTATTTTGTACTCCGTATAATTTATTACACAATCCATATTTCTATGGATAAACTTTCACTTCCAACAACGATTTATAGGGTTCAACTCTCACCCCCTTCAATTTATATATTCTTCATGGTAAAATAGAAGTAAATAGTTATGTAAATTTCAAAAATTTTAAAATCTTACATTTATTGCACACTTACCTATGATGTATCACTATAATTCCAAAACAATTTTAACAAATTTAAGATAAGCTAAATTTGTACCAATCTTTTGATATGAAACTATGTACTATCATGGGACCACATACCTTCCCATCAAATTGTAGTAGGCGTTCAAAAAAAAAAAAAAAAAGAAAAGGTGTTTTTAATATTTATATGATTCCACACGCGCCAAAGTTAGGAGAGTGTGTGAAGAAATTAATAGCTAGTAGTGGTGTGAAAGAGCTGGAAATTGTACCCATTTATATGAATAATTAATTTAAAAATATTCTCTACAAAATTTTAAGTACTTCAAAATAGAATACGTGTTTAGTGAGTCAGCACCGTCGGAGTTATTTACTTTTCATCGACGCTAACACTCTTAACACCCAATCCAACGGCCACTAATACGCAATCAACTCTTCCACAATTTTTCATCAATATTTTCTGGAATTGGATTGACATGTGCTGAGGTTTTAACTTGATAAAACTTTCACCTTATCTTAAAAAATCAACCATTATTACAGCATTAGTGTGATTAAGTATGAGCTTTGAATATATTTTATATAATTCTTTATGATACTCCGTATTAATTTTAATTAATTCAATAAGTGAATAATAATTTTGAATTATGAAAGGAAAGTTGTACATAGTAATTACGTGTCGATCAGTGTTATTGCTTTAACTCGCTTTGATGGGTACCTATAATATTTCCAAAAATAAGAAATAATAATAATTTAAAAAAATAAAAAAATAATACCACATAGGCTTTAAGAAGAAACTAATGTTTTCTCTCTCCTGGGGGGTTATAATTAAGAGAATCAATTCAATATCGCAAGAGAAACTCTCCCTTCTTTTAACATTCACATTGATATTCTCTCTCCTTCTTTCTTCCCTTACATCACACCAAATGTATGAAATTTCTCTCTCTTAAATTGTTTCTCTTCCTTTTGTCCGTTTCTAATGTATTAGCAATTTCTTTACCCAAATCAATCAATTGAAAGAGCACCAGAATAAGATGACGTCAGGGTATTCCGGTGATCTTTTCTACGCCGGAGGAGGGGCAGGGACGGGTGCAGGAAGGCCGTCGTCGTTAGCCGGGATGGCGGGTTTTCGACAACAACAGCAACAACAACAACAACAGCAAGGGATGTTAATCTCCCCGATTGACCAGATCGCTCAAAGGAGAGCGGATTTGTTGATGGGTAAACGCTCTTTTGGTGATTTTTACCAACAACAAATTCTCCTTCAACAACCGCAACAACAACAGCAACCGAATCCGCTTTTGTATATGCAAAAACAACAACAGTCGCAGCAACAGCAGCAGCAACAACAACAACAGCAATCTCATCAGCAGTTGTCGTTCTTGCAACAACAATACTTGATGCGATCGGTAAAACAAAGAACCAATGCTTTTGTTTCTTCCCCGATTTCTCCGCTTTCACAAACCATTGATCTTTGTTCTCCTACTAGTAATAACAATTCTCTCTCTTCATCCTCGACTCGTTTCGGTGTTCCGATTTACCAGCAACTCCGTCAACAACAACAACTGCAACAGCAACACCAACTACAACAACACCAGCAACAGCAAGCAATTTCTGTCCTAAACAATAACAACAACAATAATCACCAATTTCTCCACCATAACCAATTCAACAACCCCACAAATAATTGTTTAATCCCAACCCTTTCTAATAATACCAACAATAATCTCATCAGCCCGATTCAAAACCCGAACATGGGGTATTCAAATTACGGGCCGAATTCGGTCAAACCAAAACCCGAACCTCAGCCCGAAAATTTTTCTGGTTCTGGGTTTTCAAATTTGGGGCAGAATCCCAACCTCGTTGAGCCCAAGATTGATGCGGATTCCGAAGATCACAAGATTCTCAACACCCTTCAAGAGCTTGAGAAACAGCTTCTCGACGACGACGACAACGACGATGAAAACGATGCCGTTTCGGTAATCACCAACAGTGAATGGTCTGAAACGTTTCAGAATCTCGTGAGTCCGAGCGGAAACCCGAACCCGAACCCAAGCCCGAGTCCAAGCTCAAGCCCGAATACCAACCATGCTTCTTCCAGCACAAGCGGGAGCAGCAACACCAATAATACAAATACCATTGCAAGCAATAAGAATAACATGATTTCGCCTTCGCCAACATCGTCCACTTCATCATGCTGCTCTACGTCTGCGCCACCACTTCCACCGCAGCAACAACCACCACCGGCCGAGACGCTCTCGGCTAAGCAACTGATTGCCGAGGCAGCGATGACTATCGCAGAAGGAAAGAACGAGGTAGCAACTGATTTGTTGGCTCGTTTGAGTCGAATTTCGAACTCCAAAGGGAGTTCGGAGCAAAGGTTGGCCTTTTACATGGGGAACGCGCTACGTTGTCGCGCGTGCCCCAGTGAGATCTCTGCCCCTGTGCATGAACTCTACTCGGAGGAACAAATGCTAGCGATGTACTCGCTGTATGATATCTCCCCTTGCTTTAAGTTCGGGCTATTGGCCGCAAACCTCGTGATGTTGGAAGCAATCACGAGTGCTTTGCAGGAAGGGATTAAGGTTCATGTCATTGACTTCGACGTCGGCCACGGCGCGCAGTACATTAATCTGCTGCGCGCCCTGGCCGAGCGTCGGTCGCAAATCGTATCGGCCGGGCCGGGTCTTATGAGCTGAAGGTTACTGTCGTCGAGACAGAGGTTAACAATCGCGGGTTAAGGAGTCTGTGAAGGAAGGGTTGATCAAGCTGGCTGAGCGGGTTGGAATTAATTTGAAATTTCAGGGTTTGACTCGGAGGATCACCGAATTGAGTCGCGAGTCACTTGGGTGCGAAGATGGAGAGGCGATTGTTGTGAATTTTGCTTTCAAGCTTCACCGGGTACCGGATGAGAGTGTTTCAATGGAGAATTTACGTGACGAGCTACTTAGGCGCGTGAAAGGGCTTAACCCACGCGCAGTTACGTTAGTGGAGCAGGAAATGAATGGGAATACTGCTCCTTTTATGACCCGCGTGAATGAATCATGTGCGTACTATGGAGCCTTGTTGGATTCACTCGAATCGACCCTCCCTAAGGAGAATTCGGACCGGGCTCGAGTCGAGGAGGGGCTAGGGCGAAAGATGTCGAATTCGATTGCGTGTGAAGGGAGGGAGCGCGTGGAGCGTGCGGAAGTGTTTGGAAAGTGGCGGGCCCGGATGGGGATGGCTGGGTTTGAGCTAAAACCGCTTAGCCAGAGCGTGGCGGAGTCAATGCGGGCTAAGTTAAACTCGGCCCGTGGTGGGAACCCGGGGTTTACGGTTAAGGAAGAAAATGGTGGGGTCGGGTTCGGGTGGATGGGTCGGACTCTTACCGTCGCATCTGCTTGGCGTTAACTTCACTCATTATCTTTCCAAACACACCCTTAAGGAAAATTAGTATTAGTATATTATTGTTTACTTACTTTTGCCCACAATTGTCATAGTATATGCTTAATTTTAATTTTAGTATTATATATTTAATCAAATTTTCCTTTTTTAAATTTTGTTTTAGGGAGAGGGGAATGTAAGGAGGGAAAAACCCCACCAAACAAAGTAATAAAAAGAAGGTTGGGGGAAGTGTTTGGATGGATGTGAGAGAAAATTCTTGTGATCAATTATTTTATTTTGTTTTTAATTTTTAATTTTAAGTGGTTAAAGGAAGGTGGGATTTAAGGGATTGTTGAAATTGGAAAAGTTTGTTTGGCAAATTGGGCTGACTTGTATGGATAGGTTCTTCTCTTAATTGGCAAAAATATATTGAATGGGGTCCACTATTTTATTAGCATTTGAAGTATTATTATTATTATTATTGTATTATATCCTTTTTATTATTTGGCATGTATGTATATATTTTTATAAATTGTTTTCTCTTTTATCATAAAGTTATTGGATACTTTGGATCATATGCTTGAATATGTTCTTTTTAACAAACAAAATGTAAGGTTGTGTTAGAGAAATAGCGTTTACTTGTCCTATTTTTATTGGCTAATGTAGAACGATAATAATAATTTTTTTTTTTTTCCTAATAATATCTCGAGTTGATTAAAAAAAATACAAATAATTGATTAGGCCTTTTTCCCTTCTTTTGTGGGCTATGAATAGCAAGTTGTTTATGAGCCTTATTAAAGCATGCTTTGACTTAAACAGGCAATTTTTTTTTAATCTTTTTCACCAAGTTGCAATAATCATTTATGATACAATTGCAACAATGGTTTTCGCATTTTTCTATCTTCATTCATGTACAAACAAGATGTAAAAGTTAGGTCAGCACGAATTGGTTGCCAACTTATTTTGTCAAACGCCAACCAACTATAATTAGAATTTATTTGTTGCACTTATTTCGCCAAATTAATTACTAGTATCATTTTGGATGCACGCACACATACTCGCTCATAGTCTCATACTACACATATAAATAAGATTGGTTGAGGTTAAAAAATTTCTCTAAGGATATATAAAAATCTAACTTACTTTTGCAATTAATAGGAGTTCATACGTACTCCTCTCATCAATTATTTAGTTGGTTCACTAATCACTTGTACGAGTGTACATTGTTAGGTCGTTGACCTTTTAGCAATACAAAGAATACCGATCACATTAAACAGATAATAAGTCGTGGCAATCCTCTCGTCAATTACTTTATAAGTTTCTCACTATATGTACTATTTTTAAGTTTTTGTACGATTAATAAATGTGACCATTTTTTATGGTTATTGTGTAATAATAATGTATCTTACAAAAAATTGTTGTTGAGTCAAAATTTCAAAATGTAAACTTTTTATTACTTTAATCTAGTAATTTACAAGTCTAAGGGCCTGTTCATATGTAATGAACTGAATATTTTATGAGAGAAAGAAATTAGGAGTTGAACTGAACAAACCCTACTGGCTACAACTTATGGTTAAAGTCGAGTGTTGTTAAACATGAATTTTATAAAATCCGAAAATTGCAAAACGGAGTAAAAATATGTTAGTATGTACTTTCTACATTTTTCATTTGGCCTTTCTTTGGATTAAAGATGAGAGCTTATTATCATCTGATATGGATTGTAACAAGCTAAAAGGGGAAGTTAGTTTATTTTCCTTGAATGGAATGCAATGTGGAAATATTATTTTACTTAATGCCAAAATAATTGCTTCATTTGCGCTCAATGTAACTATGCAACGCCAAATTGTACTATGCGGCCACTAAGGATCAAGTCTAAATGCAGCTAATCTGCTTCAAGGAGATATCAATCTTCAATTTCAATAATATTACAAAGTCATTTATTAAAAGTAGTATCAACGTGATTTGAGCAAAAGGATACACTAAGCAATATTATCCATTAGAGGTTGCGGATCACCGATCTTTTTTGATTCATTTTCGGTCATTAATATATCAATAAGAGTAAATTTTAGAAACTAGACCTATTAAATACAATCAACAACTTTCACGCTAAACTAGTGAGGTCTTTTGGTCTTGGCCTAATGGTTTATTGGCCGGGCTTGTGTACACACTACACAAGTTACATGTTCGAATTGTCCATCTTAATTGTTATTTAGTTCGTAGACTACTTTTGAATTGAAAATCCTTATTCCTCGGTAAATATTGTCGTAATAACAAATAAAGCTCACCAATCGGCCTTAATAAGACAAAATTTGAACAAGAAAAATTAGTTTTCCGTACTCCTAATGTATTTAGAGAATTTTTAACCACTATAGAACCAATGGAATAACAAATATTCTAAATTTAGTTTCCAACAGAACAACATTTTGTACGTGTACTTATGCGAGCCTAAATTACCCAAAAGATGTAACAGAATGTTACTGCATTTCTTTCCAGCCTCATAAATGTTTTAAATTCATTTATTGCATCACAATTCACAAACAATTTATTGTGTTACTATTTTTTTTTTTCACTAACAGTTTTGTTTACTACTGTATATGCTAGCTAGCTAGAGCGTTCCATACAAACTTGGATTTAAAAATAAACCTTTATTCTTTCACACGTTATAATTATACCCTTTTTTTTTTTTTTTTTTTTTTTTTTTAATTTCAAGTTGCAAGTCATGGAAATTTTGTTAGAAGCTAGAATCAACTATATTTCTACCTAACAAATTTCCACATCTACTTGCATTTTTCTATTCATTCAGTTATAATATAAGGTTCACAGTTTAAACTTTAACTATGATACTATTGTATAATTAATTAGGAAAATTTGCCAATTACTACCTTAAGTTAATACTACTTTGTAAACTACTACCGCAAATTAAAAAAGTTGTGAATTACTACCGTAAAAAATTTTAAGATGTTGCGATTACTACCAAACCCCCCATTAAACCCAACTATGACGTCATTATATCACTTTAACCCATGGTTAAAGCCCTTAACCATGACGTCATTATATTCCTAATCCATTTTCTTTTTTGAGGGGGCTCGTTAAAGCCCTTAACCATGGTCAAATACGGGTTAAAGGGATATAATGACGTCATAGTTGGGTTTAATGGGGGTTTGGTAGTAATCGCAACATTTTAAAATTTTTTGCGGTAGTAATTCACAACTTTTTAAATTTGCGGTAGTAATTTACAAAGTGGTATTAACTTGCGGTAGTAATTGGCAAATTATCCAATTAATTATAACTTAAGTTACATCCTTCCAAATATTATACTAATAAAAATGATTGTGTTTATTGCGATACGTTGTCTTCATATAACAATACAACTATACAAGTATTATTAAGAAACATAAAGTATGGATTGGAGCTAATGATAGGGTCCAACAATTTCGGGCATTGGGGCTGTAATCTTTTTTTGGGCTAAAAGCGGGCTGTAGCTGAACCAATTCAGGCTAATTAACATAGAATATTATGCAAGTATAACAAGGATAAAGCTAAGAGATTCGATTTAAACTTTTTTTTTTTTGACGAGGGAAAAAAATAAAACAAAGGGGCAAGGATTCGAATCTTTTACTGTTTTCTTAATACTTATCCCATGTCGTAATATTTTTTTTGTGTAAAATTAGTTTTTAAGTTCATAAACTAATTAATTACAATGATCTACCGGAAGCCAGGCTCGAAAATGGCCCCGGTTGAAAGTCCCCTCTGCTTCCGACTATGGATCTAACAGAACTATTTTTTTTTTTTTTTGGAAAACAAATAAAACTAATTAATAGTGTGGAACTGAATTAATTTTTTTTTTCTTTTGACAAAGGAACTGAGTTAAATTTGGGTCTATATACAATAATACAAACATAGAGTTAGTAATTAAACTCGTCCAAATCCGATCATTCATTCATATAAACTCAAACGGCCCATTTATATGATCCAAGTAGTTTATGGGCCAAGAAGTACGATCCACAAAAGTAAAGAAACAAAAAGGGTAAAATAGTAAATCGTCTTTAAAATGTTACCGTTGTAGCAAAGACCGCCTTTTTATACACACATCACAAACAAACTCTCTTTCATTTTCTTTCCCTGTAAACTCATACTTTGATGTTTTTTGTTCCGTTGAGAAGATCAAGAATAAAGCGCCGGAAAATTCACTCAAATTTTCGATCAACAGAAGCTCTTACATAAGTAAGCAACAATTTCTTCTTTAATCTTTCCCTAATTTCTCTATTTTTTTTTGGGTACAATTTTTTTTTACAAATTTTCTGCAGCGATTATATGTCAAAGTGGTTGATTATTAAGTTAGCATAATTATTGATTGTTTCTGTTGAAATCATGTGCAAAATATTAAATTTTTTTGTAGAAATCTTGGTAATTTTTCACTTGGTGTTTGAAATCTGCAATTTCGAAATTTCCAGTTAGGGTTTTAGGGTTTTTTCGGCTTCAATCATTTTGGGTGTCTTTATACTTTGTCAGAAATCGGTTGTTATTTGTGGGTTATAATCAAATTTTCAAAGAACACTATTAAAGCTTATTATTGATGGATTGACGAATTATTGTCCAACTGCGGTAAATGGAAGCAAATGAGAAAATTGATGTTATTGAAACTTAAAGTGTTTTATTGATATAATTTTAGAGGATTTCTGTCTATGTCATTTACTTAATCATGATTCATGATCAGTTCTTTTGTAAAATTGTTGCTTACTCGAATTGTTATTTCGGGATTGTTTAGGAAATGAAAGCTCGTATATAATTCTGGGAATGGATTTATTTGATGTAAATTAGGCAACTCAATATATTCTCAGTGCATACATAGTTTTGGCCTTTATTGTGGTGAAATTTGCTGGATTTCTGTGTCTGTTGTGTATTTTCGTGGTGCTGTCTTTCTTTGTGTAATCGTGTGCATTGTGGTTGTGTTGTCGAATTGACTGCCCCGTTAGGATGATTCTTGCAAGTTAAGGTTATATCTGTACTCTGATTGTGTCATTGGTTGATTTCCTTGCAGTTCTGTAACAGAAGTATACTGAAATCTGCCCATTACTTAGCAATGACGTCGTTTGAACCTATCATTCGAATGGATGAAAATGCGTTTAGAGCTCATGAGAAGATTCAGCAGCCTAGAGTGGGCAGGAAACCTCTTACTGATATGACCAACTCTAGGAAGCCAACTGCAAAGGACAAGTCATCAGTGAAGAATATCAGTGGTTTCAAGGCTCCAGAGAAGGTGTTGCAGCCTAATAAGATTGGCAGGAAACCTCTTGGTGATCTAACAAACTCGAAGAAGCCGACTGCTCAAGAGAAATCGGCTAAAAATAATTGCACTCAGAGTGTTTCAGCTGCTGTCAAGAAAGAGCAAGTCCAGAGTTTTGCTTTAGGGGAAGGTTTTCTGCATAACCATGATGAGTGCATCAAGGCAAATCGACAATCTATGAGCTTGGATTATTTCCTGGAAACTGTTGCCCTTAAAAGAGGTATGATACCTAAGAGAAAGAATTTCTAGCTGGATAATAATATACTTTCTACTGATTTGGTTGTTATGATGATAAACTATACATGGTTTTCAATTTCAGATTCTGCATCAGTTGCAACTCCTCAGCACCCTGAACTGTCTAAGGCCGCGAATCTGGAGGTTTGTCCTAATAATGATGTGACTTGCATCTCTTATTCCTCCCCCATGCCCCACCTCTTTATCTGTTTTGCTCATCGTACACATGTTTTCTATGTTTCAGCTTGAAATTCCTATGGAGATCGAAGAGATGGAAATCGAAACTTGGGATGTCTGCGCTCCTGAAAGTCCTCAAGCACCAAAGTCTCCAAGGTCCCCTGACTGGAGTATGGATTTTCATGATCTGGAGTTATCACCCTTGAAGCTGAAGGAGTCACCAGTCAGGAGGAGCCTCAGGATTTAGTTTTCTGCTTAACATTCATTTCCTTGTGACATCTTGGCTTTATCAGGTGCCTAGTATAGTCCCATGATTGTAGAATAAAATAGATTGCTGCTTTCTTTTGCTGCTAGAGGGAGATCAATACTTTCTTGTGTTATCTCCTCACTTTGTTGTGTCGATCCAATATTAAAATTGGAGTATTAATATTAGTTCCCGATCTCTTTGTTTTACTACTAGTCTGTTGTATCAGGTGCCTAGTATAGTTCCATGATCGTCTCTTTCTGTTTTCCCCATCTTTACGGTTTTCAGCTGAAAAGTTGACGTGTTGTCAATTGCTTATAAGGATTAAAAAAATAGGTGAGGATGAGGATGTTGGAGTTTCCCATCAAAAGCCACTAGTAGTTTCACAAAATTATACAAGGAACGAAGGAGTTTCACAAAATTATACAAGGAACGAAGGTTTGAACAAGTAACAACTTCGTTTATTCTGTTAAATTAAATAGCATTAATACACACCAATGAAGAACAACAATCTTAACAACGAAAACATAGAATTAACGTAAGATATCAAAATCCAATTTGGTCTTTACAGTCGTGCAATATTAATGTCAATGTGATGAATAAACGTGTTTAGGAACTCAAATTCGTTAAGGCTAATTTTAGGCAGCAAGGCCAGCCTTGATCTTCTCAACATTGTGTTCGTCGATGTTAAATGTTTGAGCCAATACGTCGTTAGACACAGGAGGGTTGGAAGTAAAGAGAGCAGCAGCAAACTGTTGAGTGCCTGGCAATTGGCTGTTAAAGGCAGCTATAACAGAAGTCGGGTATTTAGACTTGTTTTTCTGGTAATGAGCCAAACCTCTAGGAAAAACAAATACTTCACCTGTCTTAACAACCTTAGAAATGAGTTTGTTACCGGTTGTTATGAAAGCAACGTACAATTCACCCTCAAGAACGTAGATTATCTCAGTGGCACGGGGATGAATGTGAGGTGGGTTTAGACCGTAGGGAGCAAAGTCGACTCGAGCCATGGAGACTCCTAAGGTGTTAAGGCCAGGGATGTCCATAACATTTGCCCCGGTGACTTTCGATCCAAGGACTTTGTTGGTAATCTGGCCTGGTTAGAAATCCCCATGAAGAAGAAGTCTTCCGCGGTTATCATGCCCATATTTTTGCAAGGAAATCCATTCACTAGTATTCCTGTGACATTGATCAATACAAAATATGAGTTGACATAAGTAATAAAAAACGAGTTTGACATACTATATACCTCTGTTTCTTATTATGTGCAACAAATGGGTAATATTTATAGTACAAACTATTTCTTTGATGCACATAATAAGAAACATAGGTGCTTAAAAATGTACAATATTTTCGCTACTTTGAATATACCTGATGCATCAGCAACACAAACATCTTGAAGCATGTCTGGATCATTGGCAAAGGCCCCAATTGAACATGCCAGCAGCACAACAAAGACGACTGCCCTAACACCGGCCATTTCGAAGGTTTACGTAGCGTTGCAATAGGCTTGTAAGTGTATGAATACAAGAAGGGTACTATACTCAAGTCTAGGTGCAAGTTTGAGAATTAATAACAGGGACCATGCTTTATATAGTACTAATATCATTATATAGAAGAAGTCAATGATGAGCAATTAGGCAAGAAACATGCCTTCTTAGCTCTGAACACTTCAACACTAATAATACAAACATTAAAGAATTCCATTTCCCCTTTCCATTAATCTACTAGTATATATCAATTATATATACAATTAGTTGCTTAATCTATGTATTTTTATATTATCTACTATCAATTGTACAAATTGTACTTCAAATATAATAACTTATGTTTGGGTCCAATTTAGTCCAATTGGGCCTAGGCATTAAATGATCCAATTAAAAGCCCAAGGTCAAGGTTCAACTCTCCAATTGTGCTAAAGTCAAAGGTCAGCCCTCAAAGCAAGCCAATTGGGCTAAGGCCCAACCTCTCCATGTATGAAGAGGTATAAAAGCCATCAATATTCATACATTCACATTCATACATTCTCATATATTCTGATATATTCAAGCAAAGCCACAAGCAACTAATTCTCTTGCATAGTGTTCTCTTTCTACACATTGTACTGACTTTAGCATCGGAGGGGCCTTCCTCGGCAACACCCCCGAGGCTAGTTTACGTGTGTTTACTGTGCAGGAAACCTTCGGCCCAGCATAACTTGGACCGAATCCAGTCTTCTCCGTTTCAGTGGACCTTCGGCAAGGTCCCATTGTTTTCACCCGAAACAATTTGGCGCCGTTTGTGGGGAAGACTTTCAAAAATCTTTAAGCCAAATTTCTAACCAAGATCATCTTGCAATTATCTTAGTAGCAATGGCTAAGAACCGCAAGAGCAAAAGCCTCCGTCAAGGAGCGGGCGAAAAGCCTAAAACCCCTACACCATCACCCTCGCCGGACCGGAACTCTCCCAAGGGTGCCAGCTCGGGGGGAGGATCATACAAGGAGGATTCCCTTTCTCCCGTAATTCATGACTCTCATTATAGGCCGAGTCACTCTCGGTCTAGCAGGGGTGAGTCCGATCATAGGACACATTCAGTGCCCCAAAGCTAACCATCGGCTGCGCGCCCTCATTCCCATACTCGGCCGAGGACCCCTTTGACGGGGCCCAGCTCGGAAGAGGTGGCAAGAGCACTGGCAGTGCTCATGGAGGCGATGAGGGCACAAAATATGCCACCACCTCGTGATCGAACTCCTCCGCATACCCGGCATCAGCGGAGGAAGTTAGACCATGATGGTGGGAAGCTTCCTTCCTTCCGGGAACTGGAAGAGTGGGAAGAGGATTCCTGGAAAAATGAAAAAGAGAGGAAAAAGAACCCTCAATTTTTAAAAGGATCCTCATCCTCAAGACCAGAAGCGCATAAGAGCAGCAGCTCAGCTTCTCGGCCAGAATCTACTCACCGAGAACCTGAGACTGTTCGCCGAAGCGCCCTTGACCGACTCGGCGGCAAGGAACCGAGTGTGCGCAGTCGCCTCTCGTTCCCTGCAGCCGAGGCCCAGACTTCCCAGCCAGGGACGAAAACCACTCCTACCTCTCTAAGAGGGCGGAGCGTGGTCCCTTCGGCCAGGAACAAGGGCAAGGCCGTTATGCTACCCGCCAGTTCACCATTCGAGCAATGGATACTGGAAGAGCGCGTACCCACGGTTAAAATACCGTCGCACATCACATATGACGGGACATCGGATCCGAAGGATCACGTGGCCTCGTATGAGACTCATATGCATCTTTGCCCCAGATCCGAGGCGACTTGGTGCAAATATTTCCCAACCACTCTCAAGGGGATCGCGCAAGCGTGGATCTCCAAGGGAGTAAGGCAAGGCTCCATAACAGGGTGGGATGATCTGTCCTCCAAGTTCAGGAGCAAGTTTTCCACGGCAAACCGCCGAGAGAAGACTACTGCAGAGCTCATGAGTCTACAACAGGGGGAAACCGAAAGCCTCCGAGACTATCTGACCCGTTTCAGTAACGAGTCATCCAGCGTCTCTCAGCTGGACCAGGGGCTAGCCGTTTTTTCAATGTAGAATGGCCTTCAACCCGGAAAGTTCCTAGACTTCATGGTCATGCATACCCCGCAGACCTTGGAGGAAGCTCTGAATGCCTCGGATAAGTTCATCTGAGCTGAAGAATGGAACAAAGCGAAAACCCAACCTCAATTTGGGGGAGGGAAACAAAGGCAAATACCCTTGTATGAAGGCCAAGGCCATAAGGCAAAGGGAAAGTCAAAGGCCTCGGAGCAATCTTTGGCCAGCGACCCAAAGAAGGAAAGATCTGCCTCATACACAGGCAGATACGAGTCCTACACTCCGCTCTCTCTTCCACGCGCCAAAATTTACAGCGTGACGAAGGAGGAGCAGAGTTACCGAAAGCCGAGACCACTCTCAGAGTGGTATCAGCGAAAAAATAAAAATCAGTGGTGCGAGTTCCACGAGTCTTCGGGACACAACACTGAGGAGTGTATCCAACTGAAGGACCAAATAGAGGACATGGTCCGGAAGGGATACTTGAAAAAATACATCGCGGATCACCGCGAGAAAAAAGAATCCGAGAAGTCAGCAAAGGACTCTCGGCAAGACCTCGACTTACCCCGGAAAAACAGTAAAAAGCCGGAGGGGAAATTCCCTCCGATCAATGTTATCTCGGGAGGAATATACTCTCGGAGGGAGCACAAGCGACACCTTAGAGCTTTGACTCACCAGGTGAACAACGCTGACATTCAATCTCCCCAGTCGCCGGTGCCGAACATGACATTCACAGCCGCCGACTGCCGGGGGATTACGTTCCCTCACGAGGATCCGTTGGTGATCATCGCCACGGTGGCCAACCACGACGTCAGTAAGGTCCTTGTTGACGGTGGCAGCGGAGCAAACATTATGTTCCGAAAGGCCTACAATCAAATCAAGCTGAAGCCCAAGCACCTTACGCCGGTACCCTACCTGGTATCCGGGTTCAATGGGGCTTCAACTTATCCAGATGGGAAGGTGACACTTCCTGTCACCATCGGCTGCGATGAGGCAGCCAGGAACGTCATGATTGAATTTTTGGTCATCGACGCTCCTTCAGTGTACAACGTGATTTTGGGGAGACCCATAATTCATGAGATCCAAGGGGTCGTCTCAACTTATCATCAGCTGTTGATTTACGTCTCAGACGCCGGCTTCCCCGAAAGGATACAGGGCAACCAAAAGGACGCCCGAAGGTGCAACTACCTCAAACCATCCAATAGTCGCCCAGATGACAAGGATGAGGAGGAGAAAGAAAAAGAAAGAGAGCCGAGCACAAAAAAGCCGAAAGGCCTAAGTGCTTCGGCCCAAGGATCTGTACCCAGAGGTGAAGGGCCCGAAAGGGAAAAGGCTAGCTCTTCAGCTGAGCCGCAAGACTCAGAGAGCCAGCCGAAGAACAAAAAGACTGGGACACCTGCCGACATTGGCAGCAAGCCAGATTATGAAGAGTCCAGTCCATCAGCAATGGACATGGACCAACAAACTGAAACAATTGAGTTGGCCGAAGGAGACGTTGAGAAATGTGTAACAATCGGGATGGACCTTGATCCGAACACCCGTTGTGAACTTATTCAGCTCCTTCGGGACAACAGAGATGTGTTTGCTTTCTCGGCAGCTGATATGCCCGGGATAAGTTCAGACCTCATCTCCCATAAGCTTAATGTTGACCTGAC